TTGCTAAAGTATCTCCTGTTGATAGCATGTTTGGATCACAAGGGAAAGGAACTTCTTAATATAACTATAATTCTTTTTAACTGCTCATATAAACTTACTCTTTAAATAATGTCTGTGAGAAATTTCAAAAAATGGCAAATCAGTAATTTTACAAACTATACGAGCAGCGGCGCTATGCGTGTGAATAATGGTTGAGCATCCTGAAGAAAAAACCAATATATGTAATAAAATGCTCTTTCTCACCTGTTTCCTGCAGGATTGCACTAAACACTGTACTGCAGAGAGTTGGTTGAAGGTTAATAGGGGCTTGTTGAATGGTTCTACTCCCAAGATCAAAAATGAAGATATGTTCACTTAACAGAAAAAGTTTCAACATCCACTTCGAAAAACGCACGCTTCCATTCTATCTTTTTGGACGTGCTCAGGAGTGAGGAACAAAACGTTGTCTTGCAAGCAGGCTATCGCTCCACCATAACCTCTCATCCAGCCCCAGTTATAGTACTTGTGACAGAGATCGGCAAAGTCAGAGACAGTCAACTTCTAAACATCAAAAGTTAAATGAACAAAACAAAACTTCATTTACAGTGTTTCCTAACGAGTGAGCATCACGCTCGAGAACGCAAAGAGCACCATAATCAAAAGTATCCATAATTTTTAGTTTTCAAGGAACGCGAGACTATCAACACTGAAAATAAAAAATAGAGATTAAGACTCCAATTTGAAACAGATATGATCGAGAGAATCTCGAAGAAAAAAATAACAATATCAAGATGAAAGACAAAGAATAACAGCTATACATCTTTTCCAACAATAGTGACATTGTCAGACAACGCAATTGGGACTGGTACGAAAAACAACTGCCTTGATCATATTTTGAAAAATTGCGCCAGAATAGCGTCATTTTTGTGTCGACGCGTTTTTTGAGTATAGGTCTTACAGTAATGGTATATATAACGCCGAAGGTTTACACATTCATACTTTGGAAAAAAATCATTAGAGGTTACAATAGTCGCTAATGAAAAGATTAGATTCACCTGAGTAGTTGTTTGATTACATCCTTCTTCTTTTTAACATCGTTTTCGAGGTAACTTGTTTCACACCCTAGAAGAATACATTTTTCAAAATCTAAACCAGTCGTGTTTTCACTTCTGCCATCAGTTTATAAGCCATTTGAAGACCTTCAGGGCGTTCCATTTAATTGAGCAAATCCCCGTAAAATACCTAAAAATTTGTGAATTAGAATGTAAAACGTCAAATTCTTCACAAACCCATCATTGCACCCTCACGCTCCATATTCATCTTATTTTTGCCGTGATAATCAATATATACAGTAACAGAAGGGAAGAAAA